TTTTGAATACTTGAACTTTTCATTGGTAATCTTATTTGTCTAAGCTACTATTTTGAAAAATCATGATTTCCTTATATACCTAACTAATTATAAAATTAAGGAAATGAAATGTGAGTTTTCTATTTACATCAGTCTGAGTAGTTTTTGTTACTTAACATCCCTTGTTCTCATTGTTAATCTCTTTAGAGTTCTAACATTCTATAACTTTTGAGCTCCTCTCATAGAATAAGATATTTTCTTCTCTGTAACAGGTTCTGTGGAGATTTGATGGGAAAAAACCAGATACCTTAGGAATCAATACACAGCTGTACAAGTGGCTACCCCAGAATGATCTTCTTGGTAAGTCTCTGGAGAACAAATATTGAGTATATTAGTAACAGATTATTAGAGTGTTAATAGTCATCATGAAACAAGCCTATTGAACATTTGTTATGGAAAAACTTAAAATGAAACTTCTGTATATTTATTTTCCAGTCCTAGGGTGAAAAGAATAAACAATAATTGTTGGTATTTTATGATAGGCACCCACATTCTTTATGATCAGAGTATCTTTATTTCAGGTGTTATTTCCTCTCACAAAATTTTTCTGGCACTTCCTGGGTTGTCTTCCTTTCTCATATTTCTACAACTTTACTTTCCTCTTCTGTAGGGTTATTTCAAATGTCACTAAAAATAACAGCTCTTCTGCTACCACCATGGACACTGCATTTTGTGTAAGATTAAATCCCTAATCTTAATCAAAAAGTGTTGACACATTTCATAATGAAGTGTGACCTGTCCTTCCTCAATTATAGCACTACCACCACCTCACTGCCTGCTGCCTTGCACACCCCACATATCACACTCCATGACTGTACTTAAGAGAACACATTCCGACCAAACAAGGTGGCTCACACCTGTAATCCTAACACTTTGGGAGGCTGACATGGGCGGATTGACTGAGCTCAGGAGTTCAAGACCATCCTAGGCAACATGGTGAAACTCAGTCTCCATTAAAATACCAAAAATTAACCGGGCATGGCAATTTGCCCCTGTAGTCCCAGCTACTCAGAAGGCTGAGTAGGAGAATTGCCTGAACGCAGGAGACCGAGGCTGCAGTGAGCCAAAATTGCACCACTGCACTGCACCCTGGCAACAGAGGGAGATTCTGTCTCCATTAAAACAAAACAAAACAAAAAACAAGAACACATTCTTACATGCCCATCCCTTTTCTGTGCTTTTTCCTTTTTGCACATTGTGTTTCCTTATCTAAATTGCACTTTTTTGTTAGTCCAACTGGTAATCTTGTATTATTTTTTTGGTCTGAAGTTGAACACACTACATAGCCTTCACTTACATCTCCGGCAGAAGTAGGTGCTCCTTCCTCTGAAGTCTGAAAACAATTTTATTTCAATTCAGTGTGTTATCTAGGAAACACTGCCACATTCAGATTCTTCTATCGTGCATTTCTCATTTTATTCCTATGAATAATTTTGCTAAAATTCATCCAATCCTAGGTCATCCAAAAACCAGAGCTTTTATAACTCATGGTGGAGCCAATGGCATCTACGAGGCGATCTACCATGGAATTCCCATGGTGGGCGTTCCATTGTTTGCAGATCAGCTTGATAACATTGCACACATGAAGGCCAAGGGCGCAGCTGTTAGTCTGGACTTCAACACAATGTCGAGTACAGACTTACTCCATGCACTGAAAACTGTAATTAATGACCCTTTGTGAGTATCACTTTTTCTTTACTCGGTGGTATTTATAGATAGGTTCTCTTGTCAATAGTGAGTAAGGCTCTTATCCTTTTTATCAGAGACTGATTTTGAAAGAATTTAAATGATTTAAACAATCTGAAATCTGCTTTTATTTTTGAGTTGTTATTCAAAAATTTTATTTGAACCACATACATTTAATGAATAACCAATTACTGAAATAATTTTCTACACAAAAAAATTTAAAGTAATATACATAATAAGACATTTTAAAATAAATTTGACATAATCAATCCACAATAGAAAGGAAGGATAAACTTGAAATCATAGAATAAAATATTTTAACTCAATATCTAAAATGCCTCAAAGTATATCTTTTTTCTCACTGAAAAATTTATTTTTACTATCATTATTGTAACAGATTTGATAATTTAACTTCCATAGCATAAAACCCACCTACTTAAAGTATAAAATCCTAATGTATTTAGTATGCTTACAGTCATGAAGCCATCACTATTATATAATTTTAGAACATTTTGATCAACATAAAAGAAACCATAATGGTATAGAAGTCACTTCCCATGACCCCTTAGCCCTAGGCTAACACCAATTTGCTTTCCTTCTCTGTCGATTATTCTATCTACATATTTCATACAAATTGAATCATACAACTTATGATGTTTCTTTCACCAATTACAATTTTTGTTGTTTTTATGGTTTTTGACTTTATTTATGTTGCATGTATTAACATTTCATTTCTTTTTACAGCAACATATTTTATAATATGGGTATGCCACATTTTATTTGTCTCTATCATGATCTGAGAGATAGGTAAATTGGTGTTTTCATTTCACAATAATGTTTAAGATTATCTTACCTTTTTGAGCTGTCTCACGTAGCGTGTGTACATTTATTTTATGTGTTTTATACATAAATATGTATTTTAGAAGCCATAAATGTGTTTTAAGATTCTAGGCCTCAAATAATTTAAAAATAAACACAAAAAATAGAGGAAATCCTAGGTATTCTATCATAGTGTGGCCAGGAAAAGCCTCTCTTATCAGTAACATTTAGAGGGTTGCCTCAAAAAGAAAGAGTACTGCAACCGTGGGTAGAGGGGACACAATGTGTAAAGTGCTAAGATGGGAGCTTAAAGAAAAATATAAGGCCAACGTCCCTAGAAGACCTAGTGTGCATGGGAAAGTTTCTGGAGGAGAGCTTACTAGTGTCTGATATTGGAGGATCCTGAGGACCAAATAATTTTTTGGATTTTATTCTTGATATGATGAAAGTTCAGGCAAAAGTCTTAATCAAGGCAGTGTCATAATCTGACTTTTATTTAAAAAAAAATCATTCTGGCTACTGGGTGAGAAACAGTAGGACACAAAAGATTAGAATAGAAGCAGAGCTCCTGGCTATGAGGCATTTCACCCATATAACACAATTCATCTTTAGAAACTTAAGGATGATAATTCTCAATTTGTATTTTAACTATATATCTTTCTCCATTTAAAATGGCTCATGATGTTGAGCATGATTTTATATGCCTGTTTGAGACCTAGAGTAGTGTAATTGTATATTTCATAAGACAAAGGATAAATGCCTAAGCGATGGGTACCCTTTTCTTCATGATGTGATTATTTCACATTGCAGCCTGTATCAGAACATCTCATGTACCTCATGAATATATACACCTACTATGTACTCAAAGAAACTAAAAATTAAAAGAAATAAAATTGCTCATATGTTCTCTACCTCAAATAATTAACTTTCTCACCTGAACTTCCATTTTTACTTTAAAAATATTTGTCAATTATGAAATCTAATTTAAAATCCAAACTTTCTATGATGACTCAAGTTAAAATACACAAATTCTATGTCAATTCTATTACATTTACTTTGAATCATATGATACTTGAAAAATCTTTCATTGACGATATGCTCAGGCAAATTAAGTTACTTTTTTTTTTTTTTTGAGAGGGGGTCTCACTCTGTCACCAGGCTGGAGTGGAGTGCAGTGGTGTGATCTTGGCTCACTGCAACCTCCCCGTCTTGGGTTCAAGTGATCCTCCTGTCTCAGCCTCCCAAGTAGCTGGGACTACAGGTGTGTGCCACCATGCCTGGGTAATTTTTTTTTTTTTTTAAACTAGAGACAGGGTTACACCAGGTTAGCCGGGGTGGTCTTGATCTCCTGACTTTGTGATCCACCTTCCTCAGCCTCCCAAATTACTGGGATACAGGTATGAGCCATCATGCCTGGCCTAAATAACTTACTTTCTTTTTTTAATTATTTTTTTAATTTTTTATTATTATTATATTTTAAGTTCTAGGGTACATGTCAATGTTGATACCTTTATGCTTATCATTTAGATATAAAGAGAATGCTATGAAATTATCAAGCATTCATCATGATCAACCAGTGAAGCCCCTGGATCAAGCAGTCTTCTGGATTGAATTTGTCATGCGCCATAAAGGAGCCAAACACCTTCGGGTTGCTGCCTACGACCTCACCTGGTTCCAGTACCACTCTTTGGATGTGATTGGGTTCCTGCTGGCCTGTGTGGCAACTGTGATTTTCATCATCACAAAATGTCTGTTTTGTGTCTGGAAGTTTGTTAGAACAGGAAAGAAGGGAAAAATAGATTAATTATGTCTGAGGTTGGAAGCTGCAAAATCCGATAAATGAGACTCCTTCAGTTTATTACAACAAGAAGAGGTCGTGATACAAGATTCCTTTCTTCTTGTCATAAAACATCTTTCAAAATTTACCTTTTCAAGTCTAAATTTCTTTTTTAGAGATTTAGTACCTGTTTAACTATTAGAAATATTTCACTTCAAGGAGGAAAACATTAGGGAAAATAAAAATGATATAAAGTCATATGAGCTTATATTGAAATTTATTGAGCTTATATTGAAATTTATTGTTTTACTTCACAGTTTATATGAAAAAATGTACTAAACATAATTACATATCACACACTGTACGTGGAAACAAGAACATTAAGAAGTGCACTGACAGTATCAATACTGTTTTGCACATACTCAGCATATTTTGGATTCATTTCATGCAGGATTGTTTCGTTTTAACTGTCTCTGAGGAAACTATTAAATAATTAGATTGTATAAAAAGTCTCTCTCTTCCTCTTGATATTTTGAGATGAGTGGTGCTGCTTGGTTTTATTGTGCATCCAGCTTCAGCGTCACTTTTTTTCCTAAAAGGTGTGATAAAAATGCTTACCATTTTAGAGTTTCAGTCATTTCCCAGTGGAAAGTATGTGGAATTAGAAATACAGCTACTCATACCTGGTTTCTACTACAAAATAAACTAATTTTACAATGTGTTTGGTTTTTTGAGCCAATTCTATTTTTCTGGTTATTTAAAAACATTCATCTGTTTTTTAATTTTTTTTTTAGTTATTTCAATAGTTTCTGGGTGACAGTTGGTTTTTCGTTACATGGATAAGCTCTTTAGTGGTGATTTTTCAGATTTTGGTGCACCCATTACTCAAGCAATATACACTGTACCCAATGTGTAGTGTTTTATCCCTCAGCCCCCTCCTACACTTCCTTCTGAGTTCCGAGAGTCCATCCTATCATTCTTACGCCTTTGTGTCCTAATAGCTTCGGTCCCATTTATAAGTGAGAGCATACATTGTTTGATTTTATATTCCTGAATTAATTCCCTTAGAAAAATGGTGTCCAACTGCATCCAGGTTTATTTCGTCTCTTTTGATGGCTGAGTAGTATTCATATATATATGTGTGTATGTGTGTGTGTGTGTGTGTGTGTTTGTGTGTATTCATCCCCCAATGAGGGGATAAAGTAAAGGTGATACACACACACACACTCTCACACTCATATATATATATACACACAATATATACATAGTATATATGTATGTATGTGTATACAAACACACACACATTTTTTTGTGTGTGTGTGTGTATATATATATATCACATTTTCTTTATCCACCCATTGGTTGATGGGAATCTAGGCTGGTTCCACAGTTTTGCAATTGTGAATTGTGCTGCTATAAACATGTGTGTATATGGGTTTTTTCATATAATGACTTATTTTCCTCTGGATAGATGTCCAGCGGTGGAATTGCTGGATCAAATGACAGTTCTACTTTTAGTTATTTAAGGGATATCCATATTGTTTGCCATAGTGGTTGTACTAGTTTGTATTCCCATCAGCACTCTAAATGTGTTCTCTTATTAGCACCATGCCAACATCTATTATTTTTGGATTTTTAAACTATGGACATTCGCCATTTGTATATCTTCTTTTGAAAATTATCTATTCATGTTCTTAGGTCACTTTTTGAGGGATTACTAGTTTTTCTCTTGCTGATTTGCTTAAGTACTTGGTAGATTGTGGATATTAGTCTTTTGTGGGATATGCAGTTTGTGAAGATTTTCTCTAACTCTGTGAGTTGCCTGTTTGCTTTGCTGATTATTTCTTTTGCTGTTCAGAAGCTTTTTAGTGTAATTAAGTTCCATCTATTTATCTTTGCTTTTGTTGTCTTTGCTTTTGGGTTCCTGGTCATGAAGTCTTTGCCTAAGCCAATGTCTAGAATAGTTTTTCCGATGTTATTGTCTACAATTTTTACACTTCCAGCTCTTAGATTTAATTATATGATTCATCTTGAGTTGATCTCCATACAAGGTGAGAGATGAATATCCAGTTTCATTCTTCTACATATGGCTTGTGAATTATCCCAGCACCATTTGTTGAATAGGGTGTTCTTTCCCCACCTTATGTTCTTGTTTGCTTTGTCAAAGACTAGTTGGCTCTAAGTATTTAGTTTTATTTCTGAATTCTCTGTTCTGTTTCATTGGTCTACATGCCTGTTTTTATACCAGTACCATGCTGTTTTGTTTTTACCAGTATCTACTAACTATAGGCTTGTAGTATAGTTTGAAGTAGGGTAATGTGACACCTCCAGATTTTTTTTTCTTAGTCTTGCTTTGACTATGTGGGCATCAAAGCTGAGAATCAAATCAAAACCTCCACCGCTATTGCAACATCTGCAATAATAATAATAATAAAATAAAATACTTAGAAATATACCTAACCAAGAAGGTGAAAGTTCTCCACAAAGAAGATCACAAAACTCTTCTGATATAAATCATAGATGTTGCAAACAAATGGAAACACATCCCGTGTTCATTGATGGCCTGAATAAATATTGTGAATATGACCATACTGCCAAATACAGTCTATAAATTCATTGCATTTTCCACTAAAATACCATCATCATTATTCACAGAACTAAAAAAAAAAAAAAAAAAAAATTCTAAATTTTATATGTGTTCTATTCTCATTTTTGACCTTTACTGACAAATGTAAGTTCTTATTTTTTGGTTGT